GCCGCGCGCAAAGGCTCCTACGTGTCGGCCTTCCGGCCGGTGGTCAAGGACGCCGAGAGCATCGCCAAGCTCTACGGCAGCGCCCGCGACGCGTACGGTGCGGGTCCGGCCCGTGGGCCGGGGCCGGGAGCGGGGGCCGGCGGGGGCTACGTGAGCCCGGACTTTCTGAGCGAGGGCAGCTCCAGCTACCACTCTGCCTCGCCCGATGTGGACACGGCTGACGAGCCCGAGGTGGACGTGGAGTCCAACCGCTTCCCCGACGACGAGGTCGTCCAGGACGAGGCTGAACCTGGCGCGCCCAGCCTGGGAGGAGGCCCCGACGGCGACCCACTGACCGGACCGCCGTCCGCCACCTCCTCCGGCGCTGATGGCTCCGCAGACTCGCCCGCGGGCAGTAGCCCCCAGCCCAGGCGCCGCCCGGGGCCACCTCCCTCCGGCCGGTCCGCATTTGGGGACCCGATAGCCGACGACGTGGTGCGGAGACCAGAGAGGAGCCCCCCAAACAGTGGCTACGAGCTGCGAGAGCCTTGCGTGCCGTTGGGGGGCCCCGCGCCGACCAAGGTGAGCCCCGCGCCCGCCCCGCTGGGGGCGCCGCTCCGCTCCCTGTCCGCGCCGCGGGGAGGCGGGCCAGGCCCCGGCGGTCTGGTGGATCTTGTTCTGCGCGGCGGCGGTTCGAGCCTCCGGCCCTGGCTGCTCCCGGCGGGCCCGGCCTCGGGCGCACTGTGGAGCTGGGCTCTCTGGGACCCCCGGTGGAGGGTTTCAGATGACCTGGGGGAGCTGCCCGGGCAGCGAATTTAGGGAGTTTGTGTTGATGACAGAGCCAACCCCGCTCCGACAGAAAGAGGGGCTGGAGGAAAACCGAGGGAGAGAAAGCAGGAAAAGGCGTCCAAGGGAGAGATTAGAACTATGGCTGGCCAGAGGGCTCCCTCCCCGAGCGTGTCAGATGTGGGGAAGAAGAGTAAGGAGAGGGGGTCGGTGCTTCCCCCCCACCAGCCTGGACCTAGCAATACAGTTCGGGATCCCCATAGCTATCCCCCCCCAGCCCCCTCCCTCAAGCTCTCCTTGAGTCATCCCAAGAGTCCTCTCTGGGGTAGCTGGTGGGAAGTAGTGGAGACTGTGTAAGGCGGGAACCCAGCTGGCACAGGCATGGCGGGGTGCGGGTGGGGTGGGGGTGGGGTCTCAGGTGACAGGGCCGCGTCGTGGGTGGGGGTGGGGGTGGAAGGTACAGCTAGGCCGAAGCGTTGCCCTCTTGAATGTGGGTGCGAACATCTGTATATTTCCATTCGGTTCATTAAAACACGAATCGTTAACCGGATGCAAATGGCGTCATTTATGCCAGGGACCGAGCGGGCGCGGGTGGGCTGGAAACTGGAAACAGAGGCGGGCGCAGGGCTGCGGGCGGGCGCCGGGGACCGGGTCCGGACCTGGGAGCTGCTTTGTGTTGGGGTAATGTTCGGGCTACGGAGGGCCCTGGCTCGGCCCCACGGAGACAGACTCCCTCCGGGGCCGCCAGTCTGTGGCGTCAGCGTCGCCACCCGCTCGGTGTCCCTTCGGTACGGTGGCGCCGGGCTGGGCGGCCGCAGACCACTACCAAGTGCCCCCTAACCGCCTGTCCTTTCTCGGCCGCCGCCGCAGGTGTACGCGCCCGAGCGGGAGCAGCACGTGAAGAGCGCGGCGGCTACGCTGGGGCCCGCGGCCTCCTACCTCTGCGCTGCCCAGGCCCACGGTAACGCCGGGGCCCCGTGGGCCGGGGCGCGGGGACTTCCGCGAGGCGGAGGGTGGGGCGGAGGAGCAAAGGAAAGAGGGAGAAGAAAAGAAAAAAATAATAAAAGAAAGGGGAGGCAAAGCGAACAACTTCCTCCATTCGGTTACTAAAAAGAGGATAAAAACACGCCTTGCGCACGCGCGCGCGCGCACACCGACACTCCCACACACACACAGGCACTGGGTTAGAACCTTTTTTAAAAATAAGGTCTGGCTGAAGGACCTTCTATTTGTTCAGCAAGTGGTTTGGGCCGCGGAGCCTTCAGGGACCCGGCCTGGCTGCGGCGGGAGAGTCGGGGCGTCGGCCGCGCTCCCGGATGGGGTCACTGGGAGCCCCGGAGTAGCTGTGGCCTTGGTCAGGGCCACCCCACAGGTGGCTCCCGCAGGGGAGGGTCTGGGGACTTCAGAAATCCCAGGGGGCCCAGGCAGCCCGCTGAGGAAAATTCAGTGCCCCATGTCCCCCCCCATCCCCCACTCCCCCCCCCCCCCCCCCCCCCCCCCGCAGGTCGCTGCGGGGGGGCGTCCTCCCCCGGCGGCCGCGCGCGCTCGCGGTGCCCCAGTATCTGCGCCCGATGTAGGTCGCTGGTCCCTGGTGTGCTCGGCTCGTAGGCCGGCCTTTTGCAGAGGCAGGGAGCGGCGGCGCGGAGGCGGTCCCCGGGGCCTGCCACGCGGGCGGGCGATGGAGCCGGCAGCCGGGGGCACAGCGCCTAAGGGCGCCAGCCCAGGCGCACAGCTTGGGAACAGCAGCGGGCCCCACGCCTTGAATTAGGGCTCGAGCGCAGCTGAGGCCGGATCTCGGGGTCACGGCTTCTTTGCCTCTCCTTGAAACTCGGTTTATTGCCTTTAAGAGCCGGATAAGGAAGACAATCACTCGACTGCAGAAGATTTGGAGACGAGGAAAGCTTATCCAGACCAAAGGAGTGTCTCCCAGCCCAGTCCTGCAAATACGGACCGAGGTGAGCGCCAGGATCCCTCGCCCGTCACGCCCACCCCGGAGCCGGGGTCTAGGACGCCCAGGTTCCCAAGGGCTTGCGTGGAAAGGTGTCCGTGCAGCTGTCAGCGGCCATCTGTCCTCTTCTCCGGCTTGTGAAAATACTGACGCCGGCGAGGGGGAGCCCAAGTTTCTTGAGTTGCTACTTCTTGGTGCCTTTGGGGTTCTCTGGGTAAAGGAGGGGGGCAAAAGGAAATGCTGTACTCCTTCGCCATTAGAAAACAGGTCACCTCCTATCCTGATTGCCCCAGTCTGTGTGCGTTGGACCCAAGACGACAGGAGGTGAAAAGGTCACCGACCAACATCCGCCCAAATGGCAGGGCAGCCTCTGGGCGGTGCTGGATTCCTCTAAAGGCAGAGGGCCTGGAGTGGACCCCTGATTATCACCGCTCCGAGGAAGTGTAGTCTTTTCTAGGAGGGAACCCCTCTGACCCTTCCCCTTGTGTCCCAGGTGAAGAGGGACTCACCTTGGATGTCTCTGGCACTCAGCTAGTGGAGAAGGACATTGAGAACCTGGCCAGAGGTGAGGCAAAGTATGTGAGGTGGGAGTTGCGCTGGGGTGATTGTGGGGGGAACTGTCCCTTCCAGCAAATGGGCCCTTGCTCCTGTGTGGGAGAGTGTGGGGAAGACACTCTTGGGGGAATTTGTTCCTTTTCACTGAGTGGAGAGGACAAGTCTCCTAGACGCATGATCCTGGTGCTGAGGTATGAAGGTGTGGGTGGGAGGTTGAGCCAGCCCCAGAGGTCTATTGAAAGTTTTCGATCCCCAAGGCCTTGGAGATGATCAGATTAGTGTAGTAAGAAAGAAAGGAGAAACACTTCTCAGAATGGATGGGTGCGAACAACCAAAAGGGACCGTCTGCCTCACCTCACCTCCAATTTCCTGGAAAAAAAAATGACTTTTCCTTTAATAGTGAGATTGCAGGGTATTTATTTTAGGAGTGAGTGAGGTGAAAGATCCCCTCTGGCATGAATGCACCATTCTCTCCCTATCTTCCCTCTGCAGGGGGTTGAGAAAGAGGTTTTTGGTTTGGTTTGGTTTGGTTTGGTTTGGTTTTTAAGAGTGGGATCTGCTGCCCATCCTACAACAGGGTGTGTGGGTTGAGGCCCAGAGAAAGGCAGCCTGTCACTCCACTTTGCCCCTTAGCATTCCTGTGATTTATCTCCTCATGGGGGAGGGTCCAGATATCAACCATTCACCTCTAGGTCAAGACAGCCCCTGGGGCTGGTTTCTGAGCCTGCTGCCCCTTATAGCTCTCCAGCCCAGCTCAGGGATGGAGGAAGGAGAGGACTATTGTCCATCTCCCACTCTGCCCTGTTACAAAGTTTGCTCCTTAACCATTACCTCTCAAATCATTAGCTTTTTATATGGGGAGATGGGGTGTCTTGGCTTGAATTTGGGGTTCCAGAGACTTCCTGAAATTGTAGGCAAGCTCTTGTGGGTATGTGTTTTTGTCCAGGAAGATGACCCAAAGCTTTGACCAGACCCTCAGAGGTCTTGGGTACTTCTTTGCTTGGTTACTGTCGCTATTTCCTTTGAAAGGGTGTTGAAAGGAAGCCCTCCTGGGCCAAGTTAGGAAGAAATTAAAGCATTATCTCCCCTGGGGGAAGAGGCAGGGCCTGGAGCCAGGGCCTGGCAGTTCAGTGTGTACTCCCTAATCCTGGAGGTAATTCTCCCTCGAGCTGCAAGCTGCTTTCCCCAATCTTTGGGCTACAAACGGGAAAGCCTGCGTGCTGGGGATCTCTGTCCGAGGGGTCCTAGACCTGGGTGCCTCCCTAAACCCTAGAGACCTTCGACCCCATCTCACCTCCCACTCTCGCTCCTTCCCAGATGAGTTACAGAAACTCCTCCTGGAGCAAATGGAGCTCCGCAAGAAGCTGGAACGGGATTTTCAGAGTCTCAAAGGTACCCCAGACTGGCCATACTGCCCCCTACCCCGTCTCAGAGCGCCATCCTTTTTGACTCCCTTAGGGTGCGGGGTAGGGGGTGGGGGCCGGTGCGGAGGTAGAGGTGGGGGGACACTGAGACTGGCGGCCGCCAGAGCCTCAGAACTCTTGCAGTTCTGGGTTCTAGGGAGGCCCAAGGGGAGGGGGTAGGAAGCGGTTCTGGGGGAGGAGGCTGTTCGGAACAGCTCTCACTTAATCAATTTGCACAGATAATTTTCAGGATCAAATGAAGAGGGAATTGGCTTATCGAGAAGAAATGGTACAACAGCTGCAAATTGTCAGAGGTAAGCCGGGAGTCAGGTGAGCTCATGCACGGGCTGTAACTGCCTCTCGTCTGGCAGGAGCCGCAATGTTGGCTCAGTCATTTGGATTTAAATTGAAGGTAATTTAACAATTATTTTTTTTATTTAATATCCTTTGTAAACTCTGATTAGCCTCAGAATGGCAAGCGAGCCCGGCAAACGGCTTGCAGGCATCATTACAGGGAGTGATTGAACTTCTTATCGCGGCAATTTCCATCGTTTCTAAATTAAAAATCGAGGCGTAAAATTACCTGGGAAGTAATGCCTAAGTTTGCTTTAATTTTGGTTAGATCCGTCTGCCTTTAAGCGCCATCTCAGGCCATTTCCTCCCTCCGCCAGGCTGCAGTTTGGAGCGTCGGGCCTCCCCACCCGCGTCCTCCCACTCCCCACCCCCCACCCCCAGTTGTTTGTTGCGCGCAGCTGGGGCCTGCGACCGGGTGAGGCCCCGGCGGTGACCGTGGCCTGATTGCCGCATGTGTTTCCTCACCCGCTGCGCCTTACGCCTTGTCTTCCAGACACCCTGTGTAACGAACTGGACCAGGAGCGGAAGGCGCGCTACGCCATCCAGCAGAAACTAAAAGGTGCGGAGTCCTGGAGACAAAGGCCCAAGGGGTGATGGGTGTTGGCCAGGCCCTGCTGGTGAATGAATGAACTGTGGGAACTAGTGAGGGGGGAAGGCCGGGCCTACGTCTCTCATAAACTGAGAGGACCTCAGTGGGAAATGATGTGCCTTGTAGCACAGTAGGGTAAAAAGGGGAGAGCGCTCCTTGAACTCAGAGAACTGGGAAATCTGCCGTGGGGGCTCATTCCTGGCCGTGGGAAGACCGATCCTTCTCGCTGGGGCTCAGTTTCTTCTTCTGTAAAATGGGGCTACGGAATGGGGGCAGAGGGGCGGTGCAAGGAGGCGATCGGGTCTCCCCCCCTCTGGGCTCCCTCCTTGTGATAAACGCGGCCGAGAACTTCTGAGCTGGGCTGGGCTGGGGGAGGGTGCCGGTGCGCATTGCGGCCGAGGCCGGCGAGGTGCCCAACGTGGTCCGTGTGTGCGGCTATCTTCCCAGAAGCCCACGACGCTCTGCACCACTTCTCCTGCAAGATGCTGACGCCCCGCCACTGCACCGGCAACTGCTCCTTCAAGCCCCCGCTGTTGCCCTAGGGCCGGCCCGGCCGCGCCTTCGCGCCCTCAAGCCATGCTGCTCATGTCCTGTAAATACCCGCGGCCGCGGAGGCCCAGAGCGAGGAACAAGCCATTCGGATCGGACCGATGTAAATACGGCCTCCCGCCCGCCGGCTCCCTTCCCGGGCTCCCTAGCCCAGGGCCCCCAGCTCCGTTTCCAAATGTAAATACTGCCTCACCCCAAGGCTGAACTCCAGGACATGGAACCTCAAGGGTAAACTGGACCAAAAGAGGGGAGAAAAGGGAAGGGTGGGGGGTATCTCTCCCTTCCACTGTCCAGCCCTGGGCCCCAGGGTTGTGAATACCGTGCAGCAACTTCGCGGGGGTCGGCCCGCGCTGCCCAGTCCGGTCCACTTCTGAAACACTGGTTCCTAACGACAAAGTGGCTATGTGCAATGGATATAAATGTATTGTGAGTCTCTTGGTTCAGTACTGGGTTCACTTTAATTTGTTTTTGCTGTAAGTTATTTTGCTTCCCCTCCTGGCCCTACTTCCACTTCCGTTTTGCATCCCCATTTGGGTTTTGCTTTGTCTATCATTCGTTGTAACTTCTTGGTGTAACAGCACTTTAAAAGGGCGACAACCGACTCACGAGATGGCGGCCACCTTGAGCCTGTTTGGGGAAACCATTCTGTATCTGTGACTTTGTTTTGTTTCTAATAAAACAACAATGGCAAAAACTGTGACTTCCTGTACTGTGGGGGTGGGGTGGGGTGGAGGAGGGGCCGGGCGGGGGAGGAAGGTGGACTGAGCGCTTCACAACAGGTGGGCATCGGCGGCTGGGAGCGCCTTAATGAGCCCACCCCCACCCAGGGCTGGGGACGTCCCTCGGTTTTTGCGCCTCAGAGAGGAACCCAAACCCAGGTCTGAGACCCAGACGGGGCTTTCCCGCCGCGGGTCGCAGCAGCCCCCCTCGCCCTCGCACGTGCTCCCAGTTTGCCGCTAGCACTCCCTTCCGGATAAAGGCTCCCTTAGTTCTCTTCCTTCGAGTTCCTGTGTGCTTGCCCCACTGGAGAAGTCGTCCGTCCCAGGAGCGCTCGTGGGCGTCGACAGCACGCGGGATGGGATGCCAGCTCTGGAGAGTTGTCACGTTCTGTCCATTTAGGGGTATCGGACGATAGGGGCGCTATGACGCGATGGCAATGAGTTTGGTGAGAACCCAAGCGGGATCGCAGACGTGGGGGCATCCAGGGAGAAAGTAAGGCTCGCAGGGGACCTGCCTGCAGCCGCTCCGGGTCAGGCTTGGGGCTCGGGGCTAGGGGGCACCAGCCTCATTTGCCAGGGGTCCCTCTCGGGCCTCACTTTGCACGACGAACCTGGGCCTGTTGGCGGAGACCATCCTGTGTCCGTGACTTCGATTTTGTACAGTACTTTGGGGAGTGGGAGCAGGCAGGGAATGTGGCGCGGGGCGGGAGAAGTCACAGTATTGGGGAATTGTTCAGGCTCGACTTAGTCTCCTCTGCAAACTGGCGGAGGGGCTGGGTGGCGCCCTGTGAGCCTTGGGTACCGCCTGGGTCAGGCCCGGCGGAACGCGACCGCCCCTGGGCTGGAGCAGAGCGGCCTGCGCCCAGCGCCTGCGACCCGGACTCGCGCGCCCGAGCGCCGGGAGCGCAGATTCCAGGCGAGTCACCGGAGGGCCCAGGCGCAGCCGGCCGCGAGTGGCAAGGGGCCCAGCCGCACAGTCGAGGCAGGAAGCCGGCGCTAACCCCCTTGTGCATGGAGCCCCGAGACTGGATTCAGAAGAGAAGGGACAAGTTAGAGTGCAGGCCATCTCGCGAAGGATGGAGTCACCGCCAGACGCGTCATCTGCGGTGCCGAGGACCATTTCTTGTGGATGCGACTAAGTAGACCTCTCCTTAAGGGGCCGACCGGGATTGAGGTGGGGAAGCAGTCGGCTTTGGTCCTGGGACGTGCCAGGGGCTGCAGGGCCACCAGTGGACGGTGGTGCCAGTCTTGTCCCCCTGGCCCTCTGGGGAACCCATTCTCCTACTTTGTAAACCGGGCATCACAGTTACCACTCCAGCAGGAAGTGAGTTCCTGCGGCGTTGCGTGCCACACAGAGGAACCTAGCAAATGACCATCCCCAACCCCGACTTCCGAGTGCCCCCAAGTGGAGGCAAACCCCGCCCGCAGTGGGGGCCCGCCCTGAGGGGCGCCCGGGGCGTGGGGGGCGCGTCCGCCCGAGAAAGTCCAAAGCCTCCGGTGCTTCGCGCCCCTCCCTTCAGAAGAGGTTTGTTCTCCCCCAAATGTTAATAACCAAGCGATTGGTAGGGATGTAATTATCAATAATTATACGAATTATTGCTGATTGCAGGGCTCGTAGCTACTTTAATTAGTTTACCAGATTCTAATTAAGTTAAATGAAACATTAATAGGGAAAATATGCTTTGAAAGAAAAGAAACACACAAAAACACCCACGAGTTCTTAAAAGTTTCTTTCTCGCCACAACGTTGCCACCTTGCGATTGCTTTTTAGCATGACAGCCAAAGTCCGAAGGCCCCAGACCTGGGCGTCTGGGTTCTTTGAGAAGGGTCACTTGGAGACCACGGAGGGGACCACGGAGCACAGGATGTTCTGCAGCGGGTCTCTCGTGGTGTCTTGTTGGGCACTCCTGACCTTTAGCAATGCCGACCGAGGTCCTGCCCCGATCCAGAGCCCAGTCTGAGATCTTGGGCTAGGAGTCATGCCACACCTCCCCCATACCCTGGACTTCGTATAGCCCGTATAGCCCGAAGCCCGGGACGTGATGGACCAAGTCAGTGTCTTTTGTTCTGGCAGATCCAGGATGGGAGAGTGAGCGAAGCGAAGTCGGAGCTGCTGGTGGAAGCAGCATCAGGTGGCTTGATTTTTCCCTCCCCTCGGAGAAACCAGTAAGTCACCTCTATTTCCTCAGCAAATCCGGGTGACCCAATGGCAAAAGGCACTTTGAAATACCCGTCCTACCTCGACTCCCTGGTGGTGGGGAGGTAACCTTCCCTCCTCCTGCGCTCTGCCTCTGCGTGGTACTTAGCTCCTGAGGCCACAGGGTGCTCAGCTCCCTAAACTGTTATTGTGTCTGTGTGTCTGTTTTCCACAGAGTGGGAGGACTCCCACGACAGGATGCATCCTAGTCTTCTAGTGACTTTCCACACAGCGCCCAGCACAGCTAACGTTGCGGGACTGGTCTGAGGGAAGTGACTCCATCTAGGACCTAGATGCATCTGGAGAACAGCTACCAAGCAGCCATTCAACCCATTCACATGAGGTTAATTAAGCACAGACTTACCATTCACCATTCAGAAGATCCTCCCCTACCAAGACTCGCTTTAGGAGGCAGGTGGCAGGTAAGTGAGGGACCATTCACCTAGAACAGGAAAACTTCTTCCAGTTCCAGTTCACACCCACAGAGGGCTCTCTCTCTCCTTCCCTCCCTCCCATTTTGCAAGGTCACCCTGCACATACATGTGTGCCTATTCTTAGCTTTTGCAAAAATTCCATTCCTGCCTTTGAATGAGAAATACCCACAAGAACAGAACCGGGCCTATGTGTTCTGTCTCATTAACCCTAACAAAACTCCCTCCTTACCCCTAGTGGAGGCTTAAGGTATGGTTCCAAAAAGCCAGACTTGCTGCCATCCAGTGGACGGCACTGTGTTTCAGTGACACTATAGGACAAATAGAACTAGCCCGGCGGGTTCCTGAGACTGTAACTCTCTATTGGAGCAGTGAGCTTAGTCTTTCTCCCACTGGCCACCTGGTGGTTAGGCTTCAAACTAGTATGCCCCCAGGGTGTGGCTAAGGGCATAAATTGTACAAGCCATATTTCTAGGATCTGGATCCCTCTGCCATTCATTAGCTGTGTGACATTGGGCAAAGTGTCGCATCTCTATGCCCCAGTGTGTATAATATCCCCAAACCCCAAACTTGCTACCCTCGAGTCAATTCGTACTCACAGAGTCTATAGGACAGGGGTGAAATCTTGTGGGTTTCCAGGACCGGGATCTTTGAGAGAAGAAAGCCACCTCTTTCTCCCAAGGAGCAATTGGTAGTTTTGACCTGCTGACCTTGAAGCTAGCAGCCCAACGTGTAACCCACTCTGCCACCAGGGCTCCTTGTGAAAGAAAAAGTACCCACTTAATGGTATTCATTTGTGTTTTTATTGACTGATGAAAAGCATTTAGAATGGGTCCTGGCTATACGAAGTGCCAATATGTTTGTGTTTGCTAGGATTACAATTCTCTCTGCGTTCATTTTCCAACTCTGAGACTCCAGACAGGAATGCTTTTAAAGAGTCTGTGGGCTCGTTTGTGACCCTCTGCTGTTCCAAGAAAGGGAACAAATCAGTGCTTTTCCAGGCTTGGACTTTGGAATTCTCTGAAGAATTCTGGAAAGTTTGGAGTGGAGTGGCATCCTGTAGCACCCACACCCACTCTTATTGACTCCGTGTGCCCACGGGGCAAAGGGACTGGCCAACTCCTCGCTCTCAGAAAGTTAGTGAAGAGCCAGCAAAGTCAGCCAGGTCTCTGGATTTTTCCAAGACCAGAGATTGCTCGTTTATTTCCTAATTTCTGCCCTGAGACAATGGCTATGCCAAGGAGAACAGAAGTGTTTCTTAAGAACATTCCAACAGTTCTTCCTCTGCTGTTGGTGATCTGGACCAAGTCCTTTATTTTGCATTTCCTAACACCCCTTCCCAGACTCCTCACACCACCCCTCACCCCCACTACCCCGACACACATGCAGGCTAATAACATTCCTATCTCAAGGGGTATCCTTGGCTGACGGGGCTAGAACCAATCAAACATTAAAACTACACACCCTATTGCCCAAGTAGCCTCCAAAGAACCAAGTATCTTCTGTGGGAAGAAGGGAAATCTAACTCCCAAAGATTGTCCTTCTAACTCCGTGCATCAAAGGCCAGGAGTTGGCCAGGAGGCGCATCGAAAGGTCCCACAGACCCCAATTCTCGGCTGTTACCTGGAAAGGATCATTCATTTCCGCTGAAGAGAAGAGAAATGGGTCCCTGATGGGACACTGCTCAGCAGCCCAGAGCTCTTGCCTGGAGAGTACCTGCAGCTGCCCCAGGGTGCCTGCTGTGTCTCAGCTCCTGTCCTGACTTCTAGTGAGCGCCCAGCCTGGGAGGCATCTCCCCACTGGAGGCTGTTGGTTGAGATCCAAGCGGCTTTAAAAGCCACCAGGTGGACCAGGGGCAGGCTCAGGCACCCGCAAGCAGATGCACCAAGATTTTTCTTCTGGAAAGAAATGGATAAGTATTCATTGACTAAGTCATCACAGGAAATGGGAACTTTGCTGGCCTTGTTTTTGATTATTTTACTCATTAGGATTGCTTTGGGTAATGCAATTAAAATCATACTCCAGAGTCTGACTCATAGCCACCTACAGGACAGACTAGAACTGCCTTTGTGTGTTTCCCTCCCACTAGTCTAAATCTTTCAGGGAGTGGGAAGCCTCATCTTTCTTCCGCGAATTCTGTCTTAGGTGGAAGCTTTTCCGGTGGTGCCTCTGGAAGTCTTACCTAGCCCTGCCTCAGCCACTTATTAGTGAATGTTGATCTTACGCAAGTTGTTTTCCATCTCAGGGTCTCCTGCAAAATGGTGACAGTAACCCCCCAGGGCAGGGCTGTCAGGAATAGTGAAATGAGCTGAAACCTCCCACAGTGGTGGATGCTCTTGGT